AGAATTTTAAACTTGCCATGTTTCTGCTTTTCCCAGGTTGCACAAACTCTGTAGGCCTGGACTTACTCCTGTGTATAGGGATCTCTCTTTATATTTGTGCAGGATTTCCATATGTACAGTAGTCCAGTCTGCACAAAATATCTAGAGATTCTGAACATCTCTACAGACATTGAGCAGAAAGAAAGTCCTGGTGGTGCCCAGTAGTTTCGCTTAATGGGAGGATCAGGAAGGTGCATAATAGACTTGGGGTTTGATGCTGCAGATGGCAATGAAAGGTTTACACCCTGCATAGTTATTACTCTATGAACTTGCTGAAGGTCAAAGAGTTTTGAGAAGCATCAGGCCTACTATGTGTGAACTGTACAGTTTATATATGATTTCTCAGTGAATCTAGCATGTCCTGAAGGCAGTGGATTTACTGCACATGTGCATACCATGAGTGTGCACGTGAATCTGTCCAGGAGTTCTGGGCATGAGGTATGATAGCTCCGTAACTTGCAGTGCACATTGCAAAGTGCGTCACGTCTGAGAAGAACATCCAGGATCAAGATGAACTTAGTGGAGTTTCCAGTGTTGGTAGTAATTCACAGTTACCTCTTTAAGTCCATAACTATGTATAAATGCATTTGTAATACAAGGCTTTAAAATGGTAAGGAGTGGAAACTTCCCCATGGAATTACCTTACTGCAGTATTTCAAGGTCCCAGCGTTTACTTTTACATATTCTGTTCAAATGTGATTCTTCTCTCAAAATGAATTTTTCTTACATTGTTGCCTTCCCAAATTGCCTTTCTGCTTGGGAACTTTGTCGTTGAAATTTCAGTGGTTGAGATTGTTGGGATTTTTTTTTTTCAGGAAACCTATCCCAGTTTTTGAAAACTGGAAGCATCAGTAGTTGAATCTGGGAGTGAGTAATGAGGCTGTTATATGGAATGGTAGTGGTACAGTTAACTATATATAAAATTCTTCTTTATGGAGTGTCTGAAAGGTCAGCATGTATCTCTGCTGCTCAATGCAGATTATATCTTACACATTTCACCCTTTTATTTGCTTTCTTTAATTATCCTCACATTCTTCTTTACTAAAAATGTTTGCAACATTTACCAACACAAGTAGAAACCAGAAGGAACTGTGATATAACCTTGATAAATTGCTCTTTTAAGGAAATACTTGAATAACTTACTACAGCGGTTCTATTGTGCATTAAAGGCACAAAAGCAGTGTGTGGGACTGGGTATTTAACAAGGGTCCATCTTCTCTCAAGCCCTTGTTGATTTTATTACACATTATTTGCATGTTTTATAGCAGTAATTTTTTTAAAGACTTCATCAGGTAAGCTTTGGACTGTATCTGATAAAACCCACAAATTCTATATGTTACAGAAACTCTGAAAGTTAGCATGACTCTGCTTGAGAGATATGATCAGAGCAGATGCTCAGAAAAGTTCTGCATCATGGAGTTTAAATCCTGTCCCTCTTGGTTCTTCCAGCTGAATATTGCCAGCATATAGTGCAGCTTTTCCAGGGTAGAAGAGGCTTATAAGTGTATTTGCTCTGAAATGTCGTGTAGTTTCTAACCTAGAATGAAACATCCATTTAAGATTAGATTGAGAGACTTCTTTGCATATCTATATTCAAACACATTGCATCAGGGAATATTTTTGTTTTGTCCATGAAACTTTTGCAATTCTAAACTTAATTTAGCGGTCATTTAAATACCTAAGTATTTTTAATAAGTTTGTGTGTAATAGTATCCTTTTTAAGCAGTTTTATTTTTGACACAGTAGCTTTTTAAAAAGAAATACTATAATTATATCTTTGTTATGTTATTATTTCAGATAAACACAAATCCCCTTCGGATATAATACAAAGTTTTCAGAAGAAAAGTCAGTTTAGGACCATTGCTCCAAAAATGGTACCAAAAATTTTAACATCTGGAGTGGTTTCTTGTCTTCAGCCATCTTTGCCCAAGCAAAATACACCGATTTCAGCTGCAGGTTCTAAGCCGCTGGTGGTACCAACTCAAAACTACGCTGTCATGCAGGTGTCTGGTCATGAGGGAACTTTTTCTCTGTTGGCCTTGCCGTATGTTGCTCCTGCCCTAACACAGCAAGTCCAGCAGCCAAACATGGCTCCTTCTGAAAACCTAAAGCTGCCTATCCCTAGGTACCAATCTGTAAGAAATAAATTGCTAAGTGACAAAAAACCAGCACAAATCTCTGGTTTGGGTGCACATAACAAGACTCCTACCAAAGCATCAATCTCTTCACAGACTTTCCCCATGACTACCTTAACTGAAGACTGTCCTGAAGCTCATTCTAGTTCAGATTCAACTGAGCAAGTTATGCTAACAGACCGTGACTCAGCTGAAATTACAGTTGCCGCATTAGTAAATCAAAGCAATTGTGTGGAATCTGGATCTCCTTTAGTGAACAAAACTGAATTTGCTAACGGTAGTGTTTCTGGGCCATCTGTAGTTAAAGGCTCTTCATCCAAGCCAGCAAGTACAATTAATCCCATGAAACTAAGTCTATGCTCTGTGAAGACAGCATCTGAAACCACAAGAGAGTCATTCACAACATCTGAGAAACTAAAGGAAAAACCCACAAATTCTGCAAATTCTGTTGCTGTCCTGTCACCAGCAGTTTTTGGCAGTACAATACAGATGACTCCATCAGCACCGAAAGGAAAACTTCCTATTTTGCCTTACTCAAGGATGAAAAATACAGTGTTCTGTAAGTCTAAGCAGAATACTAATGTTACGGATGTATCTGGACCTTCACTAAGATCTGAATGTGAAAAGATACCAGCTTTGGCAAAAACCTTTCATGTTCCTGCTAAAGCGTCTGATAAACGATTAGCTGTACCATTTACAGAAGTCCCCAAAAAAACTATTCGAGAAAATACCTTCTCTCCATCCAGTAAAGTGGATGTCGACAGTCTTAAAAAATTGAACGGTGCAGCCTCTAAAAGAAGAGGCAGGAAAAGAAGAGCCGCAGATGATTTATTGGCTTTTCAGACCAAGCGAAGGAAATGCATCATTAATAAGTTTAGAGAAGGAAGAGAGAGGGCGAAAGTTGACCTTCAGCCACCTGAAGACAAAAAAGCAGAGGCAGTGAAAAAATACCGTAGTATCAGACCAAAACCAGTGGTAGTTGTGCAGGCTTTTACACCACTGACTTCTGCAGCAATAGTAGAGACGCCGTCTCCTGACCGTTTAGATGAAGATATTTTTTTAAATAGTTTGCTTCCCAACAAATATTTAAGTTACAAGCATAGTGATGCTACATCAGCTAAGTCAAGTGATTTAAGTAGAAATGCATGTTCAGCTGTACCTAAGCCATCGCATAAATGTCATGTTTGTAACCATGTCTTCCAGTTTAAACACCATCTTCAGGACCATATGAACACACACACAAACAAACGGCCTTACAGCTGTCGAATTTGCCGGAAAGCATATATTCACTCTGGAAGCCTGAGCACGCATATGAAACTTCATCACAACGAAGGCAAACCCAAAAAACTTGTGTGTTGTGAATTCTGTGCTAAAGTTTTTGGCCACGCAAAAGTGTATTTCGGTCACCTAAGAGAAGTGCACAGGGTTGTTATCAGCACAGAGCCCTCTACTAGCGAGCAACAGCTGCAAGATGCTTTAAAGAAGAGAGACAAGAATATAAAAGAAGCAGAAGAAGCAACGGAGAGGTGAGTGTTTTCACTAATTAGATGCTAATGAAAACAGGATTATCAGGTTGTCGGTAGAAGTTCATAAACATCACCATTATGAAAATTGTTGCTTTTTCCTCATCTTTTTTTTTCCCCCAAAGTGAGATTCCTAGTGGTTTAAATACTTTGTTAAGGAATCTAGTCAATCCGTTAGACCATCCGGTATATTTTAGATGATTTATTGAATATAAATTATTACCGACACTTGAATATCCAAAGTAATTTTGCATATGCTCTAGTAATACCCAATATGCTGCCAGTGGAGCTATTTTGATCAGTTGATTTCTCCCGGCTAATGCTTTTTCTGTTAATCTGCACTCTCTTCTGTGTTCTACTCATTTTGGGTTTTCCCCAGAAGATAAGTGAACCAACTGCAATAAATGCAAAGCAATTCATATTTCAGTATTAGCTTGTAGTTTGTTTACCCTATTAAATATTATTATCCCATTTCCCTCTCTGGAGTGCTGTGAGCTAATCCATCTTGTGTGTTGATTACTGCTGCTCTTGCTATCACGTAGCCAAGTAGAAAAGTTAACATTCACCATATTGAGACAGATAGAACATTCTTTTATCTCTGCATTATGATTTTGAGGTGAAATTTCTTGACACAGTATAAACGTTGGCTTTTTGTTTGCTCCACTGTGCATTTACTTTCATTGACGTACTCTTTAATACTCTCAAGGCTTTAACCTGACGCCTCACTATGGCACTGAAGTTCAGTTTTACATGTTTTGCTTTGCATAGCTCCACTCTCTGGGGCATCAGTTAGTTAAGGTATTGAACCTAAGAAACACCAGCATGTTTCTTTCAGCCATATTAGCGGTACTTACTAGCGCAGTGAATCACTTAGTTTATCTGTTGTTGTTGTTGGGTGTTATGCCTAATGTGTATAAATACACAGTATTACGTGGTCCTTTTCATAGACATTGTGAGAAGGTTTCTGTGGACATCTTGGTTTGATTGGCTTGACTTAAACCAGGGGCTTGCTAACTCTGTGTGTATCTGTTTCTTTTATACTGCAGAGAGGGGCTATCCAACTATAAATTAGGTATTTATACTGTTTTTAAAAACAAACTTTTAGAAAAAAAGAAACTTTGAATTGTTTCCACCTTGGAGTGGGAGGTGGGACATGTTGTTTTGCCTTAAATTGACCTTAGATCACTCAGTGTAAACAAGTTGGCTTCTCTTAGCAGCACACTACACCTAATACTCATTTTCAGTTTTCTAGCACAGAGCTAGAGGTATTTGGATTGACCTCACTAAATCAGGAACTTAAAGAAATGTTATTAACCTTTCATTAAAAAGTTAGTATTGTTAAGAGATTATTTCTACCAAGGCTATTTTTGGAGGCAATTCTTAAACTCAGCAGTGTAACATTTGGTTTTAGTTGTTTCCTAATCAGCCTTATTATTATTTTATTTCTCTTCTTTTTCCTGTTCCAAATAAATGAAATACTTTAGCAACAGTGCCTGGTTTTAGTTAGAAGAATGTTTTGTGAATGTCATCTCTTCTTGGAACTTACAAGGACAGAAATTGCCATCTCTATTCTGTGCATGGCTAATGCTGAAATAGTACGTTTTTCCTTTTTTTTAACAGGGGAAATAAATGCAATTTTGAGGACCTATTCCATAACCCGGGAGAAGTGAAATTACAGATCAAATGTGGTCGATGCCAGTTTATTGCACAGTCTTTTGGTGAGATGAAGTTTCACTTATTGTGCTTCCATGGAGAAGAGATCCAGGGAAGAGTGAAGGAAGGGGGGTTGCAAGGAAATAGAGGAGCTAAGGGGGAACTGATCAAACATGCAACCCACTTCTGGAAACAGCGCAATGAGAGAAGACATTTGGCAAAATGCAGTGCCCGTGAGGAGGAGTTTTATACTTTTCCAAAACTGAAAAGACAGATATACTTTCACCATCAAACCAATGTTGATATCTTATCTAAAAGTGAACTGACTCAGTCAGGAAGCGGTGAAGCAGCCAAGGAGATGCAAAATGTAGGTTTTGGTACACCAAGCAAAAAAATAGAAATTTGGTCTAAAGCGGGCTATAACTGCATCTTATGCAAACAGTTATTTGGAAGAAAGGAGGATCTTTGTAATCATTGGCAGAGTCATCATAACTGTGAAGACCCTTCCACTTTATGGACAATTTTTAGTTTGTTATCAAAACAAGGAATTCTTGAACTTTCTAATAAGGGTGAATATTGAAGCTCAATTCTACAATGCTATGAAAAACATTGACTACCTTCCCAAATTGTTTATGGTTTTTTGCTGTGTTGCTAAACTAACTCACAAGCTGTGTCACTTCAGGGGTTTGTTTGGTGGGTTTGTTGTTGGTTTGTTTGGGTTTTTTTAAGTTATGCTAACCTTTATTTTGTTAAATAGAAAATTTATTTGTCCAGTGTCATTCCAGATGGGTACATGCAAGCTGATTATGAAGCACTGTACTTAAAATTCAAGGTTAAGGAACTTAGCAGCAGCAAATACTCAGTGCTAACGGTTAACTTCAAGGAAAAAGATTCTCACGTTAAATATACTGTACACACAGAAATAAATCAGTTTATATGAAGTAATCTCAGTCTTGAATGAAATGACGAACCAGGCTGAAAGTGTAATTTCAGTCCCAACTGTGCTTCCAGATTTTATGGTAAATACATATTTTCATGCGGTTCTCTGAATCATTTGAATGTGCATACATGCAGCCGGCATTCCACAGCTTTATAATCTATAATTTAAGAGCTTTTAACTCTTGTTTTCTTGATTTTCATGTCTTCAACCATGTTCATCGCTTGCAGGTTTGTTATTGGCAGGCCTTTTAGGTGTTATATTCTGTCCTGGTAACAGCAAGGATCTTTGGATTTTTAGAGTGAAAAATCTCCATGTATTTTTCTGCCTGTAGCTCTTTAGGTTGAAGACAAGTGAGTTGCCACCTGTGAAGATGGAACCCTCAAAGCTTGCCTGCTTTATGAAAGAAAACAAGTTTGTTTTAAAAATAGTAATCTGGGTTGGTTACTTCTGGGAAGTTTGACGTTCTGCAATAGACTGCGTGTTTCACAGTGCACTTTTAGCATATTCCTTGCATCGCCTGTGACAGCAGCACTACTACTGCCAACGCCGTTAGCACTCTGCCTGTAACACTCTTGGTATATAGCTTTTGTACCTCTGCAGTTGACCCAGTCTGTGACTTCAAAGGGAAATTGTTCCTTCACTTCTAAGTCTATGGTACAGGTAATGAGGTTTTTTCACTTGTGTTGCCAGATTTACTGTACTAGAGGAATTGCAAGCAGCGCCTTAACCTTCCAGTGTCAGGAGCTAGCAGCCGGTAATGCCGGAATGGCGCACGCTGTGTCCCCTGCTACAGAGCAGGCACGGTGGTGCCCATTTCTGCACATCTCCAGGGGGGCCGGTCAGTTCAGGCTGTAAGGAGATGGGAGTTCTGGAGCTCAGTTTTGATGAAAATGTCATTGAACCATGGATTCTAGTTTGAAATCAGTGTTTAAACTGCTGTTACTTAAAGCCTTATGCACCTCTGAATTATTTGGGGAGCAATAATGGAGGCAGCATAAGAAGTCACTGTACCACTGTTCAGCAGAAGTCAGAGCACGTCAGAGGGCAAACTGAAAAATACACCAATACTGTCTCTACAGTACTACTGTATCCATTTCTTCTTGTGGTCAACCTATAATTGAGGGATTGCAATGATGGAGTCATTCCTAAAATGTCCTGGGTGGTTTCTCACTATTTTGCAAAAATTGTGGTGATGAGAACATGAGAAGAGATCTAAAAATGTTGGATTTTCTGAGTGGGATTCCAGAAGATGTCGCAATGTTTTGTGTATTTTTTTTGTTTTTAAACAGTAAAGGCAGTTTTGATGAGCTAATAGTTTTGAGTGTAATTTCTTCTTGTACGGTGCTTTGCCCTGGAATTGAACTGTAAGACTGGAGCCAGGAAAAATAAAAGACAAAAAGGAAAATGCTCATAGAACTGTACAGGTGCCTGGTAAGGTGGAAGAATCCCTGTGGATTTTCAAAACTTCCTTCCTACTATCTGTTGCTATGAATACATATTTGTAGTCGTTTCTTTGCTTTCGTATATTACTTTTGTATGCAGAACTACTTTAAAAATACTACTTGTTCTTACTCTTGGGTATGGCACACCCATCTTTTAATGCTTACAATGCATTCGTATTTATTTTCACTGGGTGGATGCAGGAGAATGTATGGCGTATTTGGAAAGGAATGGCTAATTTTAAAGTCATATCAAACGGGGACTATATTTAACTTTGTAAAGTGTGTTTGCATTTAGAAGCAATTTTTCCCCCCCATCTTAATTCTTTAACTTTCAAAATCAAACAGCTTGGTGTTTTCTCTGAAACAGAGATGTGAGAACAGTCCCTCCTTCACGTAGTTATAATGTATCAAAGGTAAGTTCATTCCCAGCAAAAAGCATGCATTTTAGGAGCTGGGGCGGGGGGGGGGGAAGGGTTGGTCACATTCATTATTTAGAACAGACATGAAATCACCTTTCTTGCAATATCACCCATTCCTTGGCGTAATTAAAATGAGCTGAAGTGAATACAGCTCTGACACGGGGTCCCTCCCATTCAGGAGCAGCACCAATGATGGCAGAGTCGTCCTTCAAAAGTATTTTCCAGAAGTATTTGTTAAAAATGTTGGTGCATCAGCACCAGTGATGTAGCTGAGTCGTTTGGTAGTGGTTATCAGAAGAGTCATGCCCTTTCGTTTCATGTAAAAGTGGGGGGGGGTTGCAATGGTGGTGGGAGGAAGGAGAACTGGGGTGAGGGAGTGGGTTGCTTTTCTTTTTTCAAATGGAAATTTTCATGTGCAGTCTTTTCTTTTCATTGTATTTTTGTGCTTCTCTCCCTTTCTCTAGTCCAGGCCAAATGGAGAAAGGGGTCTCAGCTTTCAGCAATTTAAAGCCTGAAAACACGTTTTAAAGTATGGTTCTAAGCCACTTCTTGGTGTCCTCGTAAATGTTTAAAATTAGAAGCCTTTTTTCCTGAGCCTGAAAGCATTCTTGTTTCAGGCTATCGTGATTATGGTAGATTACGAAAGGTTGGGATTTTTGAAAATAGCTTAATACAGATTAAATACAGATATATATAATATATTAAATACAGAAATACGCATTAAATACAGATGTGTCCTTTGTTTAAAATGTGTTTGTTCATTTTGATAACATTTGGAGGTATGAAGTGAGCCCTGTTTACAGCAACATTAAATAGTGCGTGTTTGCTGTTCAGCAGAAGGGTTGTTATGAATACAGTTTGCTGTTTACCTTGAAGCTGGACAAGTTAACATCTGGCTTTGCACGTATATTATATTTCTGAATTGTTAAAATGAATGTTACTGTTTTCATAGCTGTAGTTTTGTTCCCCTCTGATTTTTCATTAAATCTCTGTTTCAGCTTCACTGTTCAACTTTAAAGCTGTTCCTCACATGGAAAGTTGGTCCTTCATCATCACACCATAAATAATCAAAGCTGGAGGAGTGCCATCGCTTCTCTGGCTTGCAGAGTATTGCCCTTCTCCAGCTGCAGAGCTACAGTTTCCTATGGCTAACTTGACATAGTTGCTGGCAGTAAATGTTTTACTTCATTTATTTATTAGAATTTAGATCTCTGCTGTTCAGCTGCATCAGAGTTTCTGTCATACCTCATTAGATACTTATTTCATTTTATCTACTGTTCACTGAGCTCTTTAGAGAAAGTGTCATAAGAAGGATGAACAGGTATTTAGGAGAGCAGATTTCAACCCTAACTTTGTGCAGATGATGCTGACGTTTGAGAATCACCAGCTTATCTAGGCTCAGCCATGTAGTATATTATATTTCTACAACACATCCACCTACATGCGCATCTATTTTGGAAAGAAACGTATACTTCAAATTCAGCTGTCAGTTATTATTATCAAATCTGTACAATGTAGGTTTGTGATTATTATGCATAAAGATTAAAATGCTATTAACTGCAGTAGGTTTACTTGTCAAATTCGTTAATAGCTCTGAAAAAGAAAAATCTCTGTGTGCTGAGTATGACACGGAAGTCTAGTCTCATGGAGAAAATTCTGATGGCTTAAAAAGGTTGTCCTCATTTCAGTGTGTGCTTTTATAGCTGATCTGTCGCATTGTAGGATTTTCTACACTTTTTATTAAATTGCCATAATTTTTCTTGGTTAGAAATACTGAAGAAGACCTGAGCCTGCAAGCAAGTTTCAAGAAAAAATGTGTTTACTTCTTTTCTCCATAGAGGCAGACACGTCCATGGAATCAAAATAGTCTTGATGGTCTTACATATACGTGCAGAATGCGCCATGTGGGCTTCAGTGTACGACTTCATTGGCTGGCCATTCTGCAGTTCCAAAGTAGAAACTGCAAATTTGAGTGGAAAAATAACCTGGTTTTCACACTTGAGTGAATTTCAAATACCTTATTGACAAACCTTCAAGAAATCTTGAAAAATGACAGTAGCATATTTCTCTGCTTGTGCTTTGTGCAACAATTTTATTGATGTAGTAGTACCAGGAGTGTTCTAAAATACGATAGGTCTGGTGCTGTTGAGTACAAAGGAAGCTTTCTCCCTTCCATTTTTTTCACATTTTACTGACTTTTCCATGTAAGCATTAGAAATGATGGCATGAGTTACGATTTCCGCTGCTGACAAATCCAGAAACATTATTCTGAAGTTATTTTGCAGAAACTTCCAATTTAATCTAGAATAACAGATGAAATCAGTGAAAAGAAAATTCTGTTGGAAAGAGATACGTAAGCAAACTGTCCCATGTTGGATTTCTCTGCACATTTCCGCCACTGTAGGTGAAATTTATAGATGATGGGTGTATTTGTAGGTACAACCTGTTTGTTCCTACCCAGAGTTATTTAGAGTGGCCAAGGGAAGTAAGAATTAAAAAAAAAGTACATATCTTTGACTTGAATTTTGTTAAGTATTTACTGTTGTGCCAGTCCAGATCATGGTCCAAGGCATGTAGATACTCAGAACACTTTCTAGGGGACTTAGAGCATAATTCAGTGGAGGAAAGGAGAAGAAATATTCAAGGAAGTAGTGATGACGAAGGTTGGCACAGCGTATCGACTACAAGTTCAAGCACCAGTATGACTGGCTCTTGATGCTCTGTATATGTGGAAATGTCGTGTAGCCTTAGTCTGAACTTCTCCCTTCCACCCCCTGTGGTTACATGGTGTCAGTCTGCTCCCACTTGAGGTACATCAGTCTGGAGCATCCTCGCCTGCCTTGGGCACGAGCTCTTCCACATGGCATGGCGGACTTTGTGAATGTCCTCTTCTTCTGGTGTCTCAGTTTTTAGGTGAGCCGCACGCTGGCTGCCGAGACCAGCTACTGCCAGACTTGAAATGGGGTCTTTCAGTTTTCTGAGGAAAGCGTCTTTTATCTTCACTCCATAAAAGTGAAGTCAAATGCTGCATCATTACTTAGCAAAATAGGAAGACGGCTCACTCAGTTTCCTGCAGGTGCAACACTGATAAGGAGTAGGAAAAAAAGTGAGTGGTTGCGATAAGAAAAAGAAGCTGCTAAATGTGATTTGGGGTCTTTATGTGCCATTGGAAAGACTAGAATGTCCCATGCCTAGTTGGGATCATAGTCTAGAATCGGGGAAGTTCCATAGAAGTGGCTCATGCAGATCTGGTGGTGTAAAGCAGTTCAGAGACGCTGTGACTGAGATTTCCCTCCTCTTTCTTTCCCCCCCTCTTTCTTCCCCCTCTCTTTCTT